TACCCCAAAAAAAAAAAAAAAAAGTTATTTTTTTCTATACTTTCTAATCTTTCCTTTTCTTAAAGGTAGACATTTCATTAAAAAAGAAAAAGTATAAGCTAGAAAAACATTTAATTCAATTAAAAAAAAAAATCCCAGCACCCAAAGAATGAAAGTTAGAAGTACCTAGTTCTAAAAATACCGTAAATTTTTTCAAGTAAAAGAATACTTCAGAGCTCTTTTAAAACAAGGTCAATAGTACAATGTTCAATTAGAAGAAACAACTTAATTAATGGAAAATTGGGGCAGTGTTTCACACTCCCTAATTCTTTATTTCATAAAAAGAACTTCTCACCAGAAACTAGATAAAAAGACTTTTACATTCTTTTTTAAGAATGGAAAAGATCTGTCTTCTAAAGGCAAAAAAGATAAAGAAGAAAGTACTTTTCAACCATCAGATTGGAGGGGAAAATTTTAAAGCCTGATAATACCAAGAATTGGCTAGAGGATATGGGGAAACAGGAACTTTTGTTCACTGCTGGTAGAAAGGTAAATTTGTACAGCCACTCCAGAGAAGTACTAGGATATCTACTAAAATTGAAAATTCACCCTCTACTGGTAGGGATATATCCCAGAGAAATCTTAGACATGTGCTCAAGGGAACATACACAGAAAGTCCAAGGTAGCATTATTTGTAATTACAAAAAATTGTAAGTAATCTTAATGTCTACAAAATGAAATATGCTTCATGTCTACAGATAGAGGAATGGATAAAATGTGGTATAAGACAGACTGACGGAATAGCATTCGTTAGTTACAATGAATGAACTGGAACTATATATATATCAACATCAACAGACTTTGCAAGTACAAATATTGAGTGAAAGGGGAGTTGCAGAAAAATATGAGTATAAATATCTTTTATGTAAATCTTCAAAATTCACAACACTACATGTTACTTACGGCTATTATGTATGTAATAAAAAGTATGGACTGTCAAGCTACACATCCAAATTCATGACTGTTGTTTTGGGGAAGAACGAAGTGGACTGCAACTTTATCAGTCATATTTTATTTGGAGAAAAAAATGTTGAATTAAATATGAACATGTTAATTCACAGTGGAGGATATGTGGATATTGATTATATTATTCTCTGTATTTACTGAAATTTTAGAATCTTCCCAAATTAAAAAATAATAGCATTACCTAAGGTAGAACAAAATGTCAAACCATATAACAACTGATGAATGGGATTTTTAAGTTAAATAATCACTAAATCATACATGGTTCCTTTTCAAAGAATGTGAATATAGTAAAATACACTTGTCATGTGCTCGGACAATATGGCTGATGTAAAGAAAATGGTCCCCTAATCAATTGTTATAAACCAGTGTATCACAGAGGAAGGAGTATAGGTTTTTATAAGCAGTCAGACCTGCTTTCTCAGTTTTGTTCCATCAGTTAGTAGCTGCACAGTTATTTAACCTCTTTGAGTTTTAGCTTTAGATATCTCATCTATAAAATACCTCATAAGATCATGAGGCATAAATGAAAATAAGTTTATAAAGTGCCTAGCCAGCATGATGTACACAGTAAACGACAGCTGCAGCCAGCACAACACTTGTTACTATGAACTGAAGACTGGTGATCTATGAGACTACGTAGAGACTCAGGACAGAAAGCCAAAGGATAAACACCTGTCACTATCTTCAGCATTTGGCCAGGGCAGAGGACCTTGATCTTAAGGTTCAGTTAATCAAACAGAAATCAAAATATACAGATAACAGCTCGTATCTGCTTTAATATTCTAGGAGGAGAAGATCAGCAAAATGCTGGTAACTGCTGAAATGGAATAATGGACATGTAGGATTCATTAAAATAGCCTCTGCACTTTTATGTACGTTTAAGGAAGGAGGGAAAGAAAGGAAGAAACAAAACAATCAAAGAGGGCTTCCCTGGTGGCGCAGTGGTTGGGAGTCCGCCTGCCGATGCAGGGGACGCGGGTTCGTGCCCCGGTCTGGGAGGATCCCACATGCCACGGAGCGGCTGGGCCCATGAGCCGTGGCTGCTGAGCCTGCGCGTCCGGAGCCTGTGCTCCGCAATGGGAGAGGCCATGGCAGTGAGAGGCCCGCGTACCGCAAAAAAAAAAAAAAAAAAAAAAAAAAAAAATCAAAGAACCAATGGGTTGGGGGGAGAAATAAGTTCATCTAGAATGGAGAAGAGAAAACTCCCAGCTATCCTGGCTTGGTTAAAACAATCCCTGATGATTATCCAAATCTCTTCATTCTGACTGTATGAGCCTCATTATATAGGCAACATGGAGTGTTACTGTAGCTACAGAGCTGGGCACACTCATTCCCCCTAGAGATGTGGAGATATACAAACTCTTCTTACTAATCAAGAACTTTTCTCTGCATTGATAAAAAAAAAAAGCTTCTTAATCCAGAAAATTATTTTTAAGGTATGGCAGAAACTGCCAGCTGAACCCCAATATGTATTCTTTGCTTCTCTCTCATAGTAACAGAACCCCCGATTTTCAGCTAGGGACATGGCCACACAGAATACCTACTATATTTCCCAACTCCTTCACACCTAGGTCTGACATCTCATTTCTGGCTAAAGGGACGTGAACAGAAGTGATGAGTGCAAATTTTTGGTTCGCTCTCCCCAAACCCTCTTCCCTTCCCTTTTCCTGCTGGCCAGAAATGTGAACACGGTGGCATGAGAGGAAGTGGCTATCATAGCCCACAAGCTGAAAACCAAATTTTGAAAATGACAGAGCAATGAGATGGAGTCTAGATTCTTGATGATTGTGGATCCAACACAGCAGGGCCGCTTACCAGACTTTCATGTGTGAGAGAAGTAAACTCATTTAAGCTCCTGGTTTGGGAATTTGTTATAGTAGTTGAACTTTTTTCTAAGACGTCTGTCTTTACATTTCCTAAATATATCACACTTAATAATCCCTTGTATAAGCTAAATTACACATAATCTATTTTCATGTTCCTAAATTAACAAAGAAAGCAAAGATCTTAAAGGAAAATAATATATACATGTGATATCACTTATATGTGGAATCTAAAAAAAATACAACAAACTAGTGAATATAACAGAAAAGAAGCAGACTCACAGATATAGAGAACAAACTAGTGGTTACCAGTGGGGAACAGAAAAGGGAGGAGGTGCAATATAGGGGTAGGGGATTAAGAGGTACAAACTATTAGGTATAAAATAAGCTACAAGGGTATACTGTACAACACAGGGAATACAGTCAATATTTTATAAGTAGAAATGGAATTTAACCTTTAAAAATTGTGAATCACTATACAGTACACTGGTAACATATAATATTATATACAAACTATACTTCAATTTAAAAAAAGGAAAATAATACATACATGTACCTATTTTAATTTCTTTCCTCCAATCCCATGCATCTGACTTGCTTTTCCCTCCTTGTGCCAACCTCTATCCTCACACTCAACTGCTTCAAAATGTCCAGAATATGACACACCTAATCCCTCCGAGAGCCAAATAAAACATAACCATGCTGGCCACAGGAGGGCAGTTTTTACTAGCAGAGCTTGTCCACCAAGAGCAAACTGCTCACAAGATAAACAACCCCCCCTTTATTCCAAAACACTGAGGAGAATGAGGAAGTCTGGCATTCTACTGAGGAAAACCCTATGCACAGCTGTCTATGACACCACAAGCAAGTCTCTTGAGTAGGACACTGTAACTCCAAATTAGTTTTTTTTTTTTTAATACAACATTTGGCCTAGAACCTGAAATCACCTACCAACTGATTTCCTCTTCCCCTCCCACAGCACTGCTCTCCGAATTTCCTTAGTTTCACCTTTGTTCTGTACAGTTTTAAATACTTAATTTTGATTCATGCTTTGATTTGGTGTTTCTATTCCTGCCCTCCCTGTGCCCTGTACAGACCTTTGCAAGTCAGAATCTACTTTAGCAACCTGAAGGTGAGGATTCTCTATATGTGATTTTTCCCTGGATGCTGAAAAATACAGCCACTTACGATTTAGTTCTCAATGACAGTAACTATTACATGGTACTCACACATATATACATAGGACTCATCCTCACATAACTTTAGCTGCTATCACTTATTTAGCACCTGCTCTGTGCTAGGTCCTCTATATACAATGATCTCTAATTCTCCTACAGCACTGAAAGGCAAAGGGTATTATTTCCTTTTACTAGATGAAAAAACAAGGCTGAGAGAGATAAATTTGCCCAGCTCACACAAGTAATGAGTGGCTGAGATCTGAGATGTGTAACAAGCTCATGCTCTTTTAACTACACCACACTGCTTCCTTCCCATATGAACCACCAATTCCTCAACTGTCTCTTTTCATGTCAAAAGCAGCACCGCTTTCTACTTTTATGAAAATGATAAACTGTATTTCTATTGTGCCAAAGTTGTGTGGAAAGTGAAACAGTACCATTCTGTTCACCCTCCTGTTTTCCTCCTGTTTTCTGGCATACTTTCTCTGACTACACCTCAGCAATAACCAGGGACACCCTGTACTTGCAGACAGCTCTTTATCTCAAGTCTAAAGCATGTACTAAATTTCTGGGATAGATGTCTTGTTTCATGTTCTGCTTCTCCGTAGTTTTTTCACACTCTTCTGTGGCTTTTCTTATCAGGTACCTTTACACTTAAGGCATTCTAGCACAAACCCAGCCATTTTCTCTTGGTCCTACCTTGCCATTAGGTAGGTGGGAATGTGACAAGAAAGCCAATACAGTTGTTCAGTATTACTGGGTGAGCAGATTTGCAAAATGCAGAAGTGGCAAAAAGCAGAAACTTTTCAGAGCTTCTGAGCATAAATAGCAATGCTATCATGATTCAAAAGCCTAAATCAGTAATACCATGTATTTCTAGGTGAAGCAAAATAGATTTTAAACAACATACAGGATGTGTCTGAGTACGAAGACTAGATGACAATAACCGATTCCCGAAAGGACTTGAACAAAATGCTTATCCCTGAAGCCAAAACAACAGAGGGAGCATCAGGAAGTAGTTGGGGGTTGCCTGTTTTAGTGATTCTGGCTATGGAATCCCCAAAGTCAAATTTTTTTTTTTTTGCAGTACACGGGCCTCTCACTGTTGTGGCCTCTCCCGTTGCGGAGCACAGGCTCCGGACGCGCAGGCTCAGCGGCCATGGCTCACGGGCCCAGCCGCTCCACGGCATGTGGGATCTTCCTGGACCGGGGCACGAACCCGTGTCCCCTGCATCAGCAGGCGGACTCTCAACCATCTGCGCCACCAGGGAAGCCCCCCCAAAGTCAAATTTGATGCTGTAATTCCATGGTTCCTAAATTTACCTAATCATATGAGTCAGTAGGAGAGTTTGTTAAAAATCCACATTCCTGGGGTCACCAAGAAGTTCTGATATTTTTAATCATCAGTTGAGTCTTATGAGCAGAAAAGTTTGGGAAAGTGGTTAATGAACTCTTACAGATTTTAGAACCACCTATAAGACTATGAATTTTTAACTCAATCTATATGCAGCCACCTAGACTAACCAAAATATCTAAAACCTATTTTAAAGTTGAAAAGCAAGCGTTTCACATAGTACTCTTAATAGCTTTAGGATATATCTGCCCTAAAAGTAAGATTATTTAACTCTGGATGTTCTAAAAGCATGCTTAGGTTACACACAATGGCTCACAAATTTTAACAGTTCTGGAATGGGGAATTTTGGAGTCAACCAGACCTGGGTTCAAATTCTCTGTCACTTATTAGCTGTATGCTCTCAAGGATGTTGCTTAACCTCTCAGAGCCACAATTTCCTCATTTGTAAAATAGCAGTGAACATATCCACCTTGCAAGGTTGTCTCAGGTTTACAGATAATATGCAAATAAGAGCATGATATACTTTGGCACTCCTAAGTACAACGGATGCAGGGAAACATGTATCTCTGTTTCAGAGTTCTCCCAATATGTAAATTCCCCAAACCTCCAAATTATAAAGAAAATAAACTCTCTAAAGAGCCAAGAATTATTTAACAGATCACACAGTCAAGACATCAGAGATGCAAACTATAGCAGTCTCCTATCAGAAATAAACAGGTAAAACAGTGGACCTCGATCCTGTCAGTTAGACTTGAATCAAGTGTGTCCATGACGTCAATCATCTTCACTGTCGGAGAGATAACACGGCATCTCTTCACCTCTTGAACTGTCCCTGGGCCCTCTATAAACCATGTCCCTGCTCTTGTTAATACTATGAAAAGAACAGGTGGGTTTAACACCAACTTATCTGCTTTTCCTACAGGGCTTTCATCCACAGGTTCTCCCGGGACCATCAACACCATCACCCTTTTCAGCACTTGTCCATTACTTAGGCAAACAACGTTCACTGACATGTTGACTTCCCCATCCTTACCCAACACAAACCTTAGAGGGCTGAATCTTTGGTGACTGGGCAGTCCCTTCTCCAGCAGTTAGGACTTGTTTTTGAGGGGACACAGCTATCATGTGACCCCCTTTCACAGTCACATACTGAGGGAGTGGTGACTGGCTGGCAGCTCCTGTTGTTGGTACATGAGAGGCTTCTCCAGGTTCCTGTTTGATGATTACCTTGCAACAAACATGATAATGACAATGAATAAACAGCCCATGAAAAATGCTACTAATATTTGAATTTATTCTGTATGCAGGAATTAATGAAGCCCTGTATGTAAACAATGACTCCACTAGAAGGGTAAAAATACTGCTTAAGTATAGCCCATAATAGCTATTAAAGGGACCAAAAGTAGGATGTGGACTAGATCCAGTGTATCTGCAAACCAACCTCGTCATTTATTTTAGACATTGGTGGCAAAACAGCACCAAGAAGTTCCCATCTTGCTAGACTCCAAGGGCTGCCCTGTGAACACCACTAAATAAATGGAAGCATGTCTCAGAAGTAGGATCCAGTCTTAGAGATGAGACATACTAAAAAGTTCCATGATGTGGGGTAGTAGCATCAATCAACTCCAACATGCCACAAAAAGATTCTGTAACAAGAGCTTATCCACTTGTGGGATAATCCTCTCATGAATACTTACTTTTGTGAAAGCTCCAAGTCCTCCAGTTATAGGTTTGGGGCTTTGAACCTTAGGGTGACTCCCAATTGGGCAAAGAGGTGGCATAGATGCAAACAAAGAATCCTCCTGCTGTGTTTGTAAAAATACGTATTGTACAATTAGGATAAAGTGAGTGATTTCACTCTAGTCACATATTTAATACAAACCTGTGACATTCCCTAGCAACAAAAACAAACAAAAAGCCCAAAACTCTTTGGGGGCTTCTGAGTCCCTACACCTGCATTTTAATATTGCTTGAAAAGACAATTCAAAGTAAGGCTATAAATTGGCAAGAACCTACTCATCTGTGCCCACTGTAAACTGGAAAGACTCCTATCATACCACCTGTAACATTTGGCTGACTCATTGGTTTCATGTCCAGTCCCCTGCCAGATGCTACTAAAGGATAGGTACTGTATTCTATTTCTTTTCTATCCCTAAGGTCTACGCACTAAATAAACAAATGAATGTAACAGGCAGTGACAGTGTTTCAGTATACCACACCATTGTAACAGTACTTGCAACTTGATCTGTTACTCTGGACTAAATACCCAGGACGCAGGGGGAAATTTTTCACTAAAAATTTTAAAAACAATACAACAAAAAGAACTTGAACAATTAGCAAATACAAAGACAGCAAAGGTCAAAATTCAAAATTACTGTCATTTATCTCTAATTCTCAAATACAAAAGGCAAGTCTCAGAGACAATTTTCCATAAATAAATGTTGGGGGCAAGAAACAAAGTTAAGAACACTGTTTAACTATGTAATGAAAATATCATCAACAAACATGCAAAAATGCACTGGTAGAAAATTAAGACCTTCAAGGAATTCTTACAATTCAGGCATTCATAGAACACAGTGCTCACAGATTACACTGCATTAGAGAAAAACCTCGCCTTGGATCAGGAAACTATTCAATATCATCACAATTAAGTGCCTAGATATAAGAAATGCTGTGTTAGCACCAGTCATGTAAGAGATGATCTTTGAATTCTCAGGAATTCTCAAACAGGAGTTTATACCTCAGAGGCTCTAGCCTTAAGGTAGCCACGACAATAACAAATAAGCTGAATAACTAAGTCAACAGCAGTGACTGTCTCTGCGGAACAGTGAGCAGATATCTAGCACTATGATCTGAACAAGTCAGATCATATTTGGAATTCTAAATTTCAAAGGACTTCTTATCCTGAAGAAGGGGGGGGAAGGGGAAAATACACTGTGGAAAGATACGAATTATTACTTTGTAAAGAAAAATGTATAACAAAGCTGTCAAAAAAAAATCATAGGTAAGGTAGGGGAGTCTGAAGAACTTGATCTTTATGATACTTCTTAGCTTGAAGATTCTACTTTATGAAATCTGCATTATCACTTGCAAATTCTGGCTCAACTTCAGTGTACCACGTTTAGAAACTAGCAAAGTGCAATAAGAATGTTACCTTGACAGCAGATGTTACAAAACTACTTCCATGAATTTTAGGAATCGGGGAACCTGTTCCTTGGGAGGCCTGAGAGGCAGTAGAGAGCTTGCTGGTAGGACTTCCTGATAAGCAAGGTAGATTTAAAAATAAAGTATAAACAAAGTAAAATTTATAAAATGGAATTTTAAAGCCATTTTCCACCACCCTCGTCTTCTCCCCACTATGTATTGTTCATTTTGAAGGGCTGAAAACTCACAACCATGATACTATTATAGAAAAAAACACTTAAGGATTCATCCTGTGAAGCTGACCGCTTCATCAACCTAAAAAGGGACAAGAAGCTAGTAAGGAAGTGTAGAAGAATAAGTAAAGTAAGTAGACATTATATATTCTGCACTCATATAGAAAGAGATACTGTAACATAATGGTGTTGGCTATTTCACAATGTGCCAAAATGTATGCATTCAACTGAATGCTAGTTCCTTCAAAGTAGTTTCACTAGAAGGTTATACCTACTCCAAAATGCTGACATTAAACACTTTATACTCCATCAGTACAACTGGCTTTAGGGTCTGATCAAAATAAGTCACATTATCTACAGTCAACAGTAAGTCAAGACTAAAAATGGTACTTGGCCACCTCCTCCATTTACCAAACTTGCCTGCAGAGACTTTGGCTGATTCCTAAAATTAAACATCCTCAAAAGACACCTACTTGGCATCCTTAGGTGTACTCAAAAGGGAATCTCTGAAAGTAGCATTTTTTAAAGGAGTCCCACAATTATAATCATTGTTAAAGAACATAACTTTCTAAAAAAATAGTTGGAAAGGCCCAACACACATTAATCTGTGTTAAAATCAAACATGTTAGAAAAAAATCAGTCTCATTATTTTATAGCTATTTCTCTTATTTCTCTTTTCGATATTTCTATTAGAAGTGAAAGCTACAGGAAAGTTTACACAGAGGTGCACGTGTTTAAACAGTTTAATTGAAGGGAATAAATAAAATGTTAGTGAAAGTACCTCAAAGAAACCTGAAAAGCTCTCTGTATTTATATGAGGTTATGATGATAAACACGGGGAATCCAAAGACTTCTTATGCTTCCTATTAGAGTTGTTTTTTGTTTTAAATAACTACAGGGTTCAGCTTCCCTCCCACATGCAAGTTTTATCTTATTCACTGAAAAGTAAAGATCACTTTTTTATTTCACTGGGGAAAAATATGTATGGCTCACAAAGCTATTCTTGCTCTAAAGCTTAATTTTGAGAAGTTAATCACACATTGCCTAAAAAGAATGTCTTCTAAATGAGAATAAAATCCACTCTTTTTTTTTCCTTTTTTAGAAAATTAATTATGGTTCACTATGAATCTTAAGAAATTAAAAAATAAAACTTAAGTAAATTCCTAAAAATATAACTTTTACAAGAAGTAAATCTTCCCTCAAATAGCACTGGAAAACAAAAAAGAATATATATATATAAATATATATATATACACTCTTATGTATTCCCTCCTCTTGTTCATGGTTGAAGATTTCATTCTCCTATTATATGGCTACTAAGTCACATTAGGATTCCACCTCTAAAAAAGATCAAATCTTGGGGATTGCATGAATATTGTTCCATTCAAACACACACCTGCAGTAGGAGTGGTGGCTCCAATAACCTGCCCTGGCTTGTCCACGATAACATAAGGATTATTAATAACAGAACTGGCAGTGCCTTGCTTCACATGGACTGGAGTGGAAGTTGGGGTTCGAGGCAATGGCGATGGACTTGGGGTTGATATAGGGGAACCTTTATTAATAAAAAGAGAAACAAAATAAACTAAACAAAATAGATATATTCAGCCCATCTAAGAGGACGCTAAAGAAAACGGAAGAGGGGCAGGGCCACCAGTACAAAGGCGACAAGTTGGGAAAAGAGAATGGGACTGTAAGTTTCAGGTACTGAGAGCAGCCGCAGCAGCTGAGGCCAGGGGTTAGTGCATTTTACTCTCTACATCCTTATCCATGTAGCAGCAGCAGCAGTCAGCCTGTTAGAAACAGATACTGAGGTCCTACCCCAGATCTACCAAATATATCAATAAACATTTAAACATAAAATAACATAAAATAAAAATAAGTATTTTAACAAGAGACTCCAGCAGGCATATTAAAGTTCAAAACACAGTGCTTTTACACAAGTGTGGAACTGCTGCATCCCCAGGTAACAACTTGGGCAGGTTGTTATAATACTGGTTATACTTGAAGAAACTGAAGTTAGGGAGGCAAGTGAACAGCTAGACTTAGGAACCAAGTCTTGATTTGCAATGAATTTCCAATAGGAAAATATGAAATTCATCCACCAAAACAAAAGTCTCTCTCAATACCATATCACAGCCACAAGCCAGAGATTCGTGTTCCCATAGCTCTCAGAAGTTACCGACAGATACATCATTAAACATCCTCAACAGTTATTGATCAAATCTGTTATCCATGAATTTCTCTAAACTTCAAAACAATTTATATGTTCAGCCTATTCCACCTCTGAAGCAGCAAGCTCCAAAACGCTTCTAACTGGTGGGTAAAATTATACATTCTTTACCTTTTATCAATTTCAAGGACTTGGATCATATTTCTGCTTAGCTATTTTTAGCACTGAACACTCCCCCCACCCCCTTCATTTAAGAATTACATAGAAGTCTCCCACTGCCTACGTATTTCTATTGACTCACTTTCATGTCTTTTCTGAGGTGGCACAGTCAAAACTATAAAGCATATTTCTACTAGAAGTTTACCTAACATAAACTGTTGTGCGGCAATGGACAACTCAACCTCAGTGAAAATGAACAACCTATCACAGGAATGAGTAAATTTCTAGTGTGGTTATAGAGTATAAAAGATATCTCAATCCCAAACCAACCCTTGAAGCTTAACTACAAACCAAAAGGCATCTAATTTTTTTCTATTACTAGTCACTCTGGTTTCCATATATAATTCCCACACTTAATTCCTACCTTAGTTTCCTCCATACATCCTAGCAAACAATTTACCTGTGCTGATTCTAGATGAAAATTTGGGTGCTTTGAATTTTATTTCTTTCCTCATTCAAAAATTGTTTCCATATGAATGACTTTTGTTTTTGTTTTGTGACACTTTTGCTTTGCTAATCAACAGTGATGAGCTTGCTTGTTAACTAAACAAAAACCCTGCTTAGAAAAGCTAACAAAAAAAAACTAAAAAAAAAAAAGAAAAAAAAAAGCCATAGTACTTTATCATTCTAACAATTTTTACACACACCAAATTCATATATACCACGTATACCTGAGACAATCTTGCAGCTCATGGTGATAGGCTGGAAGGATTTTCCAGGTGACTCCGGATTAGGAACCTGACTTTGTGGCACAATTTTGCAACTTGATGCTATTGGCTGAAAAGCTGAATTGCCATGAGAACAAAAGGTGACTTTCTGGGATGTTGTCATTTTGGTGGGTGTTCGTTCCAATGAAGATGGCAAAGAATAAAATGTAGTGTGTCTCTCAGCTTCAGTGTTGGCTGGGAATCCTTCTTGAAATGAAACACGCAAATAAGTCATCAACCACTTTGAAATCCCTCACCATTTCAAGAACCATTTAAGCCATTTACCAGTAGTAAAATAAATACAGTTGACTGGTATTTAACACTGCTTTATGTATTTTCTGGTGAAATGTAAATATCATGCCTAGAATCATGTTTCATTAAAATGCTTCTTTCAAAAAATTAGAAAACATATTAGCTAACACTATATAATAAAATTTATAAGTTCATTATGTTCTCCCATTCTTTATATATGAATTGATAAACTGTTTAGAGAAGAAAAACTCAAAAGAAAGCATTAGCTTAATCTAATGATGTCCTGTTTTATTAAATGCCCATAAAAAGGATGCAACTGAAACTTAAGAGAAATAAAGTTGAGATTTTTATAAAAGAACTAAAATATTAACATCACATTAAACGTAGACTTACAGATCATACTAACACCATTTAGAATCAATTTTATATCGTACTTGTATATGTTATATAAGTGAACACTTAAATACTTAACTATATACTTATATATTTACTAAATAAAAAGATGCCATAGTCAAAATACATTTGTTGATGATAAGTCTTATATTGTATTTTAAATAAGATTAGATACTAATATTTGAACTTCTTGTTCACACAATTATGGACCAAACAAGAAAGTCTTCCTGTAACATATTAGAGGAAACCATTATATTCATCAAAGAATAAAAATGTAATGCTTTTCAGTGAGTTTTGTGTTCTATAAAATGTCGATAAAACTGCATTAAAATTTTTTTCTGAGAAGAGTAAGGGCTTGGCTATTTTCATAATAGGTCTGTGTAGAAGAGCAGCATGCCTACTTATGCAAAATTTATTTTCCATACACTCATAAGGCACTGAAAACAGCAGTTCAACATCAAGTGATGGAAAGGAACACGCCATAATGACTGCTCTATACAAGGTAAAAATGCATTTCCATACAAGGAAAAATATATACTACCTTTCTCCACAGAGGTATCAGGTACTGGCTCATGTGACTGCTTTACTGGTGAGGACGCTTTCACAGGGGCTGGAATGGTCAAAGGCAAGGATGGTGGGGCATCTGAGATGTCTGACTCGGAGGACTGAGGATAAACGGTGTCTTCTCCAAGAGAATGCCGATGGAGCTCAACATCCACTACCTACACGATCAGGCAACAACTGGGCTCATGAATCCATCATCAATGTCACAGAAAGCCCCAAACCTGTCTCAAAACATGGTGCTCTAACAGACGTTGCCAATAATTTCTATTCATACTTCAAAGGCAATTTCAATCTCAATAACTAAAGGATTTATCCCAGAATGTAATCTAATCTGGCTTAATAGATCACTCAATGAAACCAATCATAAAATTGGGGAACTTCCATTTAGTGTTTCTGCACCTTAGAACACTCTTTCCCCCAATCTCAGCATGACTGCCTCTTTCTCACCATTAGGTCTCAATCAAATGTCACCTTCTCAGAGAGAACCTTACCTAACCAACCTAGCTAAAGCACCCAACTTGTCCTCCGGCTACTCTCTTCTTTATAGCACTTATTTGTAAGTGAAATTATCTTATTTGCTTTTATATTTACCATATACCTTCTCCCTACTCTCAATACAACCAAGAATAAAACTCCTTGAGAGTAGTAGCTACTCTCATTTGTTCATTTTTGTATCCTCAGTACCTGAACCAGTGCTTAGCATATAGTATGTGCTCAATAAATAACTCCTGGCATAACACAGCACATTTCCCTGAAGAGAGTAAGGTTTAACTTAGCTAATTCTAATCATAATGGCTACTGCTGATATATCATGAATACCAAAAAAGGAGGGGGAGGATGGGGTGGGAAAACAAAGTTGAAGGTCTAATACTTCCTGATTTCAAAATTTATTATTACAAAACTATAGTAATCAAAACAGTGTGGTACTAGCATAAAGACAGACAAATAGACCATCAGAATAGAATACACTCTCACATACATGGTCAAATTATTTTTGACAAGGGTGCCAAGACCACTGATTGGGAAAAGGACAATCTTTTCAACAAATAGTGCTGGGAAAACTGGAGATCCACATGCATTAGAATGAAAGTGGAAGTTTACTTTACACCATATACAAAAATTAACTCAAAATGGATCAAAGACCTAAACATAACACCTAAAACAATAAAACTTAGAAGAAAATATAGGGGCAAAGTGTCATAACACTGAATTTGGAAATGATTTCTTGGATATGATGCAAAACGTACAGATAGAAGAAAAAACAGATAAATTAGACTACATCAACATTTAAAACTTCTGTGCATCAAAGGACACGATAATAGAGTGAAAAGGCAACCCACAGAATGGGAGAAAATATCTGCAAATCATATATCTGATAAGAGATTATCTCAAGAATATAGAGACACCTCCTAAAAATCAGCTACAAAAAAACAAACAACCCAATTCAAAAATGGACAAAGGATTTGAATTCACATTTCTCCAAAAAAGATATATAAATGGCTGATAAACACATGAAAAAATGCTCAACATCAATAATTATTACAGAAATGCATACCAAAACCACAAAGAAATACCACCTCACACTCCCTGGATAGTATCAAAAAAACAGAAAACAACAAGCACTGGCAAAGATGTGGAGAAATCGAAACCCTTACACACTGTTGGTGGGAATGTAAAATGATGCAGCTGCTATGGTAAACAGTGTGGTGGTTTCTCAAAAAATTAAAAATAGAATTACTGTATGATCCAGCAATTCCACTTCTGGGTATACACCCAAAAGTACTGAACACAGGGACACGAACAGAGAGACCCACATTCTTAGCAGCATTATTCACAATAGCCAAAAGATGGAAGCAACGCAAGTGCTCATTGACAGACAAGTGGTTGAACAAAATGTGATGTATACATACAACAGAATGTTACTCAGCCTTTAAAAAGGAAGGAAATTTTTATTCATGCTATAACATGGATGAATCTTGAGAACATTATGCTAAGTGAAATATGGCAGTCACACAAAAAAAAGAATACTGTATGATTCCACTTATGTGTTACCTAGAGTAGTCAAATTCATAGAGACAGAAAATAGAAGAGTGGTTTAGGGGTTGCGGGAAGAGGGTGAGTTATTATAAATGGGTAGTTTCAGTTTTCCAAGATGAAGAGTTCTCTGGAGATGAATGGTAGTGACAGCTGCGTGAAAATGTGAATATATTTAATACCACCTAACACTTTAAAATGATTAAAATGGTAAATTTTATGTGTATTTTATCACAATTTAAAAATAAATAAGTAAATAAGGGGGGAGAGAAACTTTTTATAAAATTAAGCGTTCATTTTTTTTCCTAATTAAAAATGAAGATCAATTTTCATTCTACTTGTTTCCAAATAATACTGTAGGAAAATAACCTACCGTCTCTGCTCCAAGAGTCTGCAAGCCAGTATAAGTTCTGTCCAGCTATTGAAAGACAGAAGAGTATTAAGTTTCACTATGCTTACTTATAAAGCTTAGGATACAGTCTTATCTAAAACCCCTTTCACTGCAAGTCTTCATATCATAGGCTCTACTTTTTCATAACATATAAATTCATCATGTCAATAAAAACCCTCAATTTTCTGAGAGAAAAACTGAGTAAAATAAATAAAAACAACCTCAGACATATAGGTAGTTATTATAAAAACAGGCTATAAAAATATACATGCAGTGTGATGACACAATTATATACTTAGGGTATATTTACTAAGCACTTGTGCAAAAAATGAATGAAAATTTAGGCAATATAGGCAATACTAATAACTACCAGTATATTAACTTCATGGATGATTTATTTTAGAGGAGAGAAAGGAGTATAAATTGAGGGAATGTCAAAAATATAAATAAAAAAGTTTACAATTACATACAAAGAGGTTAGGTTCTTATTCTTATACTTTAATTTATATTTAAAATTAAAATTTAAAAAAAGGATTTGTGGCAGCTTACCATATAAATCTTATACAGGAAGATCAATAGGTAAAAATGGTTAAGTTGGGTAGAAAGGAAAGAAAAGGAAAGGAGAGATGGGGGAAAAAATGAAGCCAGGGATAGGTTAGTAAATAGAAAATTCTAAAGGCTTGCAAGAAGTAGATTTCAGTCTGGCTGAGTTCCTTAGCAGGGAACACAGAGAAGACAACTCAGTCATGAGACCTAGTGTTCATAATAGAAAAGGCAATAGAGGGTAGATTTATAGTAGCACCATGGAACACATCTGGAGTTTTAAACCTTCGCCAACAGGTTGACTGTTAAAAAGATACGAGCAATTTTAAGGCTACATCCATTCTGCATATTCTCCAGAGCACAGATATAATAGTCTCTGTAATCTGCACTGGCCGATGTTTTATTCTTGGGACCACATTTTGAGAGAGACACTGATAAAACAGAACTATTATCAAAATGACAAGAGAAACTGGAAAGAAAGCACAGCATACAAGAAACGTTACAAGAACAGGTTTTGGCTGAGGAAGAAATGATTTAAGGAGAGACACAAACGTTATCATTAAACATTTTTAGAGTTCTTACAAAAGAAAACAAAGTCCTGTTCTGTACTATTCCAGAAATCAAACTAGGATAAATGAGATCAAGGTTAGAAGGTGGGGCGGGGGAGAAACGGGTAACAGTTTTAGGTAAATTTATGAAAGAAGCTTCTAAAAGTTTATTTACTAAATGTATAAATGGATTGTTTTGGGAATTACTGTGCTCCAGTGATGGTTGAGGAGAGGTTAGATGACTACCTGTCAGGGATGCAGATATGTGAATTTCATCCCAGAAACTTTAAATTTTATTGAACTCTTAACACTTAGAGTATTTAGTATATAATGTAATTATTACAGTATCAAATATAGATTGTTATGTACTACAGAATTTCAGAATACAGAGGGATTGCTATGGACTTTAATAGCCAGGAAAAGCTACATAGGAACGTGAAGAATGGAAAGAATACACACAGGCATTCGAGGAGGGAAGAGCATAAAAGACTTAAGAGCTGGCCTAAGGCATTTCTGGGACATGAACAGACTGACCTGGCGGGAGTAGGAAGTTCATGCAGGGGATTAGTGTGAGATAATTTAGGGCAAAGTATGTCAAGTCAAAATGTGAAGAGCCTGGAATAGCAGGCAGGGGAGTCTGAACCTGAATAACAGGAATTCAATCAAAGCTTGTCAGAGAGGAACAACATAATGGTTCTCCTGTTTTAGGAAGACTAATCTGATGGCGGTGTACAGAATGGACTGAGGGAAAAAAGACAGATTGGCATTAAAGAAGCTAATCAGGAGACAGAGTATAAGAATAGCCTAGTAAGAGTGGAAAGGGCGAAGGGTAGTCTAAAAGAAAAATTAATGGTCTGCAAGTGAACAAATGTTTAGAACACAGAGGGAAAAATCAAAGATGGTTCTGAGAGTTACCAAAGAAATTGCAGGAAAAATGATACTCCAGAATAAATAAAGATCAGTGGTCACAACAGAGGTGCTTAAGTTCTCAAGGCCAATCAACATGTAATATATAGTAAAATTAAGGAAAATCTGGTAAGAAATACTTTAAAAACTGTCTCAATCATTCACCAGGAACTCTAAGGACAATAAAATATGTATAAAAACTATGTAAACAATTCCCTTTATTTTAGGGATTAGGGTTGGGCCCAGTGCAATATAAGATGGTATGTACAGTGCTTAAAATAAGTTAAGAGGAAAGCAAAACTATTTCAGACCTTCCTCTAAGTAAGTGGGAACATATCCTGCCCCTCCGAACCAAGTGGCTATATGTTCTTTATTTGGTTTCAGTTCTTCTCTGAGGTTATAAGGCAATCTTGTTTTACAGTAATCTCTAGAAAATAACTTAAACATGAAGTTAAGTAGTGCTGTTTACCAACAATGGAGGACAAATCTCAGGCGGCCTTAAGGTTGAAACGGGTACATTTGTGGAACAAAGGGAACAAAACAGGAATTATGAAAATGTACTCAGATTCACTTGGGGGCAATTAATGAGAATAATGTGGTAAATCACAAAGTAAGGGCATTTGGGGAGAAGTTCAATATTAGGATTATATTTTATGGAGAGAAAATGTACATGAGGTTACAACAGAGAGGGATGTGGGGCACTTTAAAAAAATGGTCTGTCTTCCAACTATGAAAGTTAAATGTTTATTATATAAAACTGGAAAAGAAAAACACACACATGCACACACAGAAAAAAGGGGCAGGAGAAACCTCCCACAATGTCATTACTTCAATTACTCCAACTTTTTAGGGTATTTCTTTTGTGTTTTTCCCACCTATTTAAAATCTTGGTTGACCTCATACTATATACATAGTTTTATACTCTATGCTTTTCATTTACTAAAATGGTAGTTTTTCCCATGTATAAAAAACACTTTTTAAAATAAAATTTTTAATGGTTACATAATAAACCATGTGGATATATCAGTTAAGGATTTCAAAAGTATTACAACCTTCTACAGTACTTAATATTTCCTAAAATATGTTCACTTCTATCTTTATCCTTAAAAGATAAATAGACAAGGCTTATTATTTGTGCCTCTTTTTACAGAAAATTAAAGTGTAAAGAGTAAAATACAGATTAAAAAGAAAAAGATTTCATTTACTTGTTAGCCCCAGGTAGCACAGTACAAGTGAGCTCTGATCAGAGATTCAAGTCTTCTGATTATCTGACCAGTTCATCTTTTTAAAGAATATACATTCTGCTGTAAAGTGACCCCTTCCCCAACCTTCAGAAGGCAAGTGTTGTAGCAGTAAGCAAAACACACTCAAAAAGATTCATCCTGCTCCCACTATCCGTGGCCACTTCTCTCAGAGGGCTAACCCACCACTTTAAGTGGAGGTGAACAAAGATACTTCAGGGCTTCCCTGGTGGCACAGTGGTTGAGAGTCCACCTGCCGATGCAGGGGACACGGGTTCGTGCCCTGGTCCAGGAATCCCACGTGCCGCGGAGCGGCTGGGCCCGTGAGCCATGGCTGCTGAACCTGTGTGTCCGGAGCCTGTGCTCCGCAACGGGAGGCCACAACGGTGAGAGGCCCGTGTACCACACAAAAAAAAGATACTTCATTTCTGGGGAGCAATGTTTTGTTACAATACCTTCAGATTATGTATGATATCTATCCGCTTGTTCTGGCTGTCCTTAAAGTGTACTTGAACTCTGACAGGAAACTCACCCCAGCCTCTTCTGGTCAAGTGAAAAGGAGGCTCTCTAGGGAAAAGCAGATATTAATGTATTAGTCCATGTTCACTCTCTCATTCTAGAAAGAATAGTTTTCCCATAATGGCTAAGTTAGAACTTCACATGTTTCTAATAATTATTTAGATTTCCTCACTTGATGCTAAATCAATACGCTGAATTTTGCTAAAATGCTAAATCATAAAAAATTCAACTCAAACCTACATTAAGCTTTCAACTACTGAATACTTAGAGCTAAGACACTTATACCATACAATCCAATGTCATTATTTTCCCAGACAGGGAACTAAGGTGATTTGACGGATGTCGCAGTATTAAAGCCAGAATCCTTGATTGCTACTTGATAAGACATAGGCTGGGAGGTATGTTCCCTACCCCAAGACAATCATTTATTCCTCCACTCTGGCAAAAACAAAATAAATCATGAATGCCCAATCTGAAAGTGACAATTTATTTGAAACTATCTACTAAGAAGACTTAAATTATATATGACTTTATATAATTTTAGTGAATAGAGAGGAATGTGTGTGAATGCTAACTGGACTAGAGAATTTTCAGCAGTCAAAATGTAATTTGTGAAGAGAATAAAAAGGAAGATTGATGAGAAAAAGACTGGCATGCTGTTGATAATTGGTGTTGGGTACGTGAGGATTCAATATACTCTACTTTGTACTGGGTGGGCCAAAAGGTACGTTCATTTTTTTCAGTAAGATGGCTCCTAGTAGCACTTAGTTGTCTTTAACTTCATTTGAAACAATTTTGTTAGACTGTATGATGACAGCTGTCATATCAGCGTGCGTTTAAAAAAGAACTTATCAAAATGGGTGAATTTTTGTGTAGCCATTTTAATATTGAAGATGGAAGAAAAAAGCAACATTTTTAGCATATTATGCTTTACTATTTCAAGAAAGATAAAAATGCAACTGAAATGCAAAAAAAGATTTCTGCAGTGTATGGAGAAGGTGCTATGACTGATCAAAATGTGTCAAAAGTGGTTTGCAAAAGTTTTACGCTGGAGATTTCTCGCTGGACGATGCTCCACGGTTGCGTAGACCAGTTGAAGTTGACAGGAATCAAATCGAGACATTAATTGAGAACAACCAATGTTATACCACGTGGGAGACCGCCAACATACTCAAAATATCCAAATCAAGCATTGAAAATCATTTGCACCAGCTAGGTTATGTTAATCGCTTTGATGTTTGGGTTCCACATAAGCAAAAAAACCTCTTGACCATATATTTCCCCATGCGATTCTCTACTGAAACATAATGAAAACAGTCTGTTTTTAAAACAAATTGTGACGGGCGATGAAAAGTGGATACTGTACAGTAATGTGGAATGGAAGCTTTGCCTGTGGGGCAAGTAAAATGAACCACCACCAACCACACCAAAGGTCGGTCTTCATCCAAAGAAGGTGATGTTGTGCACATGGCTGGACTAGAAGGGAGTCCTCTATTATGAGCACCTTCTGGAAAACAAAACGATTATTTCCAACAAGTACTGCTCACAATTAGACCAACTGAAAGCAGCACTCGACCAAAAGCGTCCGGAATTAGTCAAAAGAAAATGCATAACCTTCTTCCATCAGGATACCACAGGACCGCATGTTTCTTTGATGACCAGGCAAAAACTGTTACAGCTTGCCTGGGAAGTTCTGATTCATCTGCTGTATTCACGAGACATTGCACCTTTGGATTTCCATTTACTTCAGTCTTTACAGAATTCTCTTAAATGGAAAAAATTTCAATTCCCTGTAAGACTGTAAAAGGCACCTAGAACAGTTCTTTGCTCAAAAACATAAAAAGTTTTGGAAAGATGGAATTATGAAGTTGCCTGAAAACTGGCAGAAGGTAGTGGAACAAAACGGTGAATCCACTTTTCAATAATGTTCTTGGTGAAAATGAAAAATGTGTCTTTTATTTTTACTTAAAAACCAAAGGACCTTTTTAGCCAACCCAATATATGTCTGGAATTTTCCAGAATAAAAAGTTTAAAAATTTAATTGAGACCTTCATGTACTCAAGAATAATATGGTTTAAGTTAATGGAGGAAAGAGAGAATGCTTTAAAATTAAAGTGTTCATTATGAATCAATGGCTTGGAATTCCTATAATGAGAGAGAATGCCAAGATTGCAGGGAGAAAGGAACTTTCAGTGGGATGTGCTTTTGGAAAACTAAGGAGGGACATGAATTCAGTAAGGGCAGAGTCCAAGAACACAACCTGAGAGGAGTCTAGGAACAGATATGAATCATCAGGCACAAAACCAGAGGCTACCAGGAGAGCCCAAAGCAGGAAAAATCCCTGAGTGTGACAGAAGCCTGGAAAGTAGAGGAAGCAACAGCTGTATTATAAACTAGAGAAAAGAAAGCAAAGAAACACAGTGCCCTGGATGGAAGGAACCAGCTGAGTTAGTAAGAGAAGTAGCCATGATGTCAGCATAGGTTCAGACAGCAATAAAGACAGGCTTGGGGTCAAATGAGAATGCTGACTTGAGACAGCAGCTTGAAAAGGAATCCAAAGCCAGAGATACAGTGGGGCCTACAGACATGGTGGACTTAAGAAGAATAATTAAGGGAAATTCTATTGATGACAAGTTTAGTCATTTAAATTCCAGTAAAGCTAAGTGGAAGGCCCAAATTCACTTTGCAATATTCGTCAATCTCATGGTTTGTATGCTGAATTTCTCTTACAAAGGATATAGTAAATCAGCTGTGCTCCTCAGTTTGTGTACATAGGCTAAACTCTAGTGAATGGACAGGAAGGACTGCTGCCAGGGAAGACAGAAGACAGACAAATCAGGAAAAAGGAACAATGCTTTTTAACAGGAAATTCCTCCCTAACCGTATTTTTGGAAACAAAAAAGAAATCCAAGACCTACCAACAGATAAGACAGCTACAGAAATGTTATACTTCAAAAGACATATGTATTTCACACAAAAAGGGGACTGCTTCCCCTAAATAGACTTCTATATTTCTAGATTCCTCATAGAGGGTGAAATGTATCAATAACCAAGAAGACAACCCACAGAATACTAGGCTTTAAAAAACTAGGCTTTAAAATGTCCTAAAAATACAGAATGAAGCACAATTCCTCGCCCAAATAATTCAAATGGGCAACCAGTCTTTTAGGATCACTTCTAGTGACCCAGAATTCATTACTTTAGTAACACTCTGTATCACATTTCTAAAGAGTTCTGTTATAAAAATATTTCATCTTCCTCCTGCATGTTACTTCTAGTATGCCTTCTACAATCACAAATTCCTCCTCCACATGACCTTCAAAAAACTAAAACATTCCACTAAGTTCTCTTCTTTTCAGGGTAAACACATTCTGTTCCTTATAACAGCCGCAGAAGCAAACACTTATATTGTTTACTATGATCCTACCACTGTTCTAAGCCCTTTATATCTATTAACTTATCTAATTTTTAAATCACAATATGAGATATCCCCTCTGAGACACAGTGAGGCTAAATAACTAGCCCAAGGTCATGCAGCAAATAAGTAGTGGATCTGAGATTTAAACTCCAGGGCCCATGCTTATTTTTTTTAATGATACAAATGTTTTGAAGAGGCTCACTAGGACATTCCCTTGGGGGCTGAGCACACTCTAGTCTCTCATGCACCAAGGGCAGGAATATTCTACTGACACAGTAACCAAGTGTTCTTCATCTCTGCTAACCCTGTATCAAGTCCTGAGCCTGGCATACACTTAGTGACTATCTTGTGCCTAAAAGCAAAGTTTACAGTCACAGCTTTTAAGAAGTTGGCTAAGGAATAACTGAACCAAATGGAAAACAGATGGTCTACAGGAACAGAATCTACTTATGCTCTTCATCAGGTAATGTGCTCTGACGAGCAGATTCAGAGTGCACGATGAAAATACATGTGCTTTGGTCCAGAGATAAAGATTATCCCCAAGTTTCAAGGCAGCTGAAAAGATCTCGCCTACTCATCACGTTCCTTTAGATACCTGACACAAGAACCACCTTAAAAGCCTTGTAAAGAACACAGATTTACAATTAAATCTACGACACATGCTAATGTTCTGTCCTACCTGAAATTTAAAGTTCAGCTCTAAGAAGAATATTTTAAGAATACAGACAGGGCTTCCCTGGTGGCGCAGTGGTTGAGAGTCCGCCTGCTGATGCAGGGGACACGGGTTCGTGCCCCGGTCCGGGAGGATCCCACATGCCGCGGAGCGGCTGGGCCCGTGAGCTATGGCCGCTGAGCCTGCGCGTCCGGAGGCTGTGCTCCGCAACGGGAGAGGCCACAGCAGTGAGAGGCCCGCGTACCGCCAAAATAAAAAGAATACAGACAAACCAGAGTGTGTCAGAGAATATAACCTGGATGGCAGAGGAACAAAAAACAAAGTCACACGAATGACAACTGAAATGTGGATATTTGGCTTGGAGGAGAATAGAAGAGACCTACCAGTTGCTTTCAAAATATTTGAACAGCTACATGGAAAAGGGACTACACTGATTCTGTGTGGTGTTACAAAACTAACGGACGGAAAGTGTACTGTTTAGAAGTTAAAGGAAGTTAGGTCTCTGCTCAATATAATTAAAAACTTCCAAACAAACACAGCCACCTACAAATGGAATAGCTCACATCATGAATTCAATAATTCACTCAACAAGAAATGACATTTACTACATGCTGGACACTGTGCTAGATAGATCACAGGGAGAGAAAGAATTAAGAAAAGGTCCCAAACATCGAGAAGTTCTAAATCTACTAAGGGAGACATACATGTAAATTAATAAGTGTAATAATAAACTTATATACATTACTTGCTATAAAAACACAGAGATGTGGTTGATCATTAACAAATTATTTCTCAGGAGTTTTCAACACCAGAAGCACACAAGCAAGGATCTCTTTTAAAATACTATTTAAAAATCATAACCCAGTAGTTAATAAAGTATGGGAAAGTATGCTCTTGGGAAAGGTATGTAGTAATGGTGCAATTCACAAGCTGTGAAAAACTAACTGGTCAGATATACCACCACAGCCAGTTATGCAATACTGTCAGAGTGGCATGGACTAGACAGAAAATAATTGTCAGAGGCTATTTCCATGATGTGAAGCCTCATAAATTTCAGAAAACAAAGTTCATTTACTATTAACAGAAGATACTACAGATGTATAAGATGAGAAAGAAATTTGAAGAGGAGCTATATGTATGATCTTTTCCTTGGATTTCCTCAGACTGTTACAATACAACCTGATAAGCGTGATTTGCCACCTTTACCGGCAGATTAGTAAAGATTTCTTAATAAATATAACTTCATATATTACTGCATGATATATTCTAAAACTTAAAGGAACTCAGTGTGTTTCACAAATTCCAATTCCTGGGATGAGAACTGAGAAATAAAATATGCATTGATTTGCATCATTAAGTATTTAGGGTTTTATGTAATGAGTTTTTAATCCCATTTTTGATAAATCAGATGTTTATCATCAATACAAAATATGATTAATACATTTTAACTGATTCACATGCTTTATATCAAATAAAATGTTTTCCTAAAACAGTATTTTTGTTGCTGTTTTTACTATATAAAGGAATTTCTTGCTGGTCTGGACATTAAAACATATATATATATGTATATATATATATATATATATTTTTTTTTTTTTGGTACGCGGGCCTCTCACTGTTGTGGCCTCTCTCATTGCAGAGCATAGGCTCCAGACGCGCAGGCTCAGCGGCCATGGCTCACGGGCCCAACCGCTCTACGGCAATGTGGGATCTTCCCAGACTGGGGCACAAACCCGTGTCCCCTACATCGGCAGGCAGACTCTCAACCACTGCATCACCAGGGAAGCCCCCATATATTCTTTTTATTATTTATATTTTTATAGACAAAGTACTTTTTAAACTCATCTACTATTTCTTACCAAACTCACTAAAATATATGTATTAAAATACCAGACTTATCTGGAGTCAGTATATCTAAACTCAGAAAATACTGTTACTCTGTAAGCTATCTTAAACTATAAAATATTGTTACTATCCCAAGAATTCAAGTAAACAATCATTTACTGTATTTTAACCCCTGTAAGAAAGTAGAGCAAAGAAGGATTCACTGAGAAAGTAACCTGAGTTATGTCTTGAAGCATAAACAGCAGACCTTAAGAAAGACAGTGTGTGCATGTACATATGCATATGTGCATGTGTGTGTAAGTGAAGAAGACAGACAATAGGAAGATGGTATTCCTAGCAAAGAAAACAAGTCTAGGTCACCAGTGGAATTCCAGGTGAGGCTAGATGAGCTGTATCGGGTATTTCTGAAAGATTTCATGAATCAGGTATAGACTGAAACAAAATCACAGACAAGGCCTTCTCAATACTAATGTTTGAGAGCCTAAGAATGTAACTGCTCCTCTATCAAACTCTACCATTAGAAAAAAACAGACTATCAACACTTTTCTGAGGTTCTATCCAGTGAAATATGTCAAGAAAATACAGGAAGTTTTATAAACATTAAAAGAAAAAAATCTTGTTTACACTCATTGATTCTCCAGGATAGACAAGACAAAAAGATTCAATATCATAAAAAGTGTGAAAATTAATCATTAATTCAATGCAATTTCAATCCATAACTTGACAGAGATTCTAAACTAATCTGGAACAACATATATACTCAAGAATGACCAAGACAAAAACTGCAGAATAATAATAATCAGGGGAACATACTCTACCGGACATCAGAATATACTATACAGCAAAACAATTAAAATAGTATAGGGACATCCCTGGTGGCACAGTGGTTAAGAACCGCCTGCCAATGCAGGGGACACAGGTTTCAGCCCTGGTCCGGGAAGATCCCACATGCCGCAGAGCAACTAAGCCCATGCGTCACAACTACTAGCCTGCGCTCTAGAGCCCACGAGCCACCACTACTGAGCCCCCATGCCTAGAGCCCGTGCTCCGCGACAAGAGAAGCCACCGCAATGAGAAGCCCACACACCGTACCACAATGAAGAGTGGTCCCAGCTCACCACAACTAGAGAAAGCCCGCACACGGCAACAAAGACCCAACACAGCCAAAAATAAATTAATTAATTAATTTAAAAAAATAGTATAATACTAGTACAGGAATCAAAATCACTAATGGAATCTAGCATCAGATCCATGTTTATGCCAGAATTTAGTGTGTATTAAAGGACAGATCAGCTGGTAACTGATAAATGCATAACTAGCCATATGAAGAAGATAAATGTTCTGTATTAGCTACAAAAAAATCTCATTTCCAGGTATTTGACTTTCTGACCAACAACTCCTATCTTCTGACTCCATTCCTTTGACCCCCACAGAGATTTCCATTTCTTGCCCACACCAGTTTGCACTACCCATCACTGCTCTTATGTAATCTCCTTCTCTCCTTACTCAGCTTAGATTCTATGGTATATCACTACCATAACCTTATTATTAAAGTGAGGTTATCAATGAACTGGGAGACCAGGGTTTTGGACGAATTGTCTATCTGCATGTCAAAGCTCTTAAGAATGAGGGCAAGAGTACTGCTAGAGGGACTTCCCTGGTGGCGCAGTGCTTAAGAATCCGTCTGTCAATGCAGGGGACACAGGATCAAGCCCTGGTCCAGGAAGATCCCACATGCTGCGGAGCAGCTAAGCCCGTGCGCCACAACTACTGAGCCTGCACTCTACAGCCCGCGAGCCACAACTACTGAAGACCACATGCCACAACTACTGAAGCCCATGCGTCTAGAGCCTGTGCTCCACAAGAGAAGCCACCGCAATGAGAAGCCTGCGCACTGCAATGAAGAGTAGCCCCACTCACCGCAACTAGAGAAAGCCCGTGAGCAGCAACGAAGACCCAACGCAGCCAAAAATAAATAAAATAAATATTTAGAAAAAAAAAGAGCACTGCTAGACAGAAAATCAGTACACCAGGTGCTAAAACTGTTTTTGAAAGAGAGGATTGACTGGGAAATCAGTAGATGCCTGCGACAAGGAGGAGCAGCAGACCTTACAAAGCTTCTAAGGAGCTGAGGTTTTTAGAGAGAAAAAGGGAAAAGGTGGTCTAGAAGCCACAAATATGAGCAAGAAAGACATGCACCCCATTTTTAGACCCAATGGTACATGCTGTGTGAGAGAAAAAAACAGCTGCCACTTGAAAGTTTTCTTGGGAGAAGTGGTGTTCTCAGGAGATAGCCATGTTTTACTTAAGAGTCAGGAGTGGAGGGAATGTTCTGAAGAAAGCTGAGGATACAGGAGATTTCACTGATAAAGACCCACAACCACTTCCACAATACAGTCATATAATGAATATATATGTGATATGTAACATCACATAAAGATGTAAAGAATACACCTAAATGAAACAAATTTCAGAACAATATATATATTATCATTCCATCTTTGTGAAATAATGACAACAAAGAACCTCAACAACTATACTAGGTTTATATATACAGGAAAAATATCATTAAGGGTTACTTCTGAGAAGGTGAGATCATGGAGAACTTTCAACATTAAATATTTCTGTAATTTCAGAAACTTTATTTAATTCTATTATATTCTGATAATCATAAAAAACAGTAACATTGTATCTATATAAACAAGTTAAGCTATTTCCAGGAGAGGAGAATCAGCTAATATAATTCATATGGTAACAACCTGACAGAAGGGGATGGTACCTGTTCAGAGAGACAGAAATCTGCAAGACAGAACCACAGCTAAAACTATACTGTGACTAAAAGCCGAAGCTGAGTAAATTATTAATGACACAAGAATTTCAAGGGAGTGTTCTCAAGTTAAATCACTTTCCTTCCACTTCAGTGTATCTGTACTTCTCAGGTTTAATAACTCAAGTGTGCTCACCTAACTTCCACAAGGTCATTTGGTTTATAGCTGGGATGAAGAAAGAACCAAACTTTCTTGACAAAATGATTAATGCTGGGTTCTCTACGAGACCCTCGGACATATACCATCCACTTGTGGGTTGATTGGTCGTTTTCTTCTCTCTTATCAGGAGGTATGTACCTAGAGTAGAGAAAAAAAAAAAACTACTCGAATTCTTTTTTCCTAACAAACCAATTAACTACTACTTAAAACAAGATTAAAAATCAATTACAAGACGAAAATAGGAAAATTTACATATATGTGAAGATTAAGCAACATGCTACTTACCAACAAGTAGGTGAAAAAAAAATCAAAAGAGAAATCAAAAAACATCTTGAGACAACTGAAAATGGAAATAAAGCACACCAAAACCTAAGTGATGCAGCAAAAACAGTTCTAAGAAAGAAGTTTACAGTGATAAATGCCTACATTAAGAAAAAAGAAAGACTTCATATACACAATCTAACTTTACACTGTAAGGAACTAGAAAGAAAAAAACAGACTAAGCCCAAAGTTAGTAGAAGGAAGGAAATAACCAAGGTCAGAGTGGAAATAAATTGAGACCAAAAACACAGTAGAAAAGATCAAAGAAACTAAGAGCTGGTTTTTTGAAAAGATAAACAAAATAGACAAAAACCTTTACCCAGACTTACCAAGAAAAGGGGGGGGGTAATAAATAAATAAAATTATAAATGAAAGTGGAGATGTTACAACTCATACTACACAAATACAAAGGATCATAAGAGACGGAGAACAATTAAACACCAACGAACCAGACAACTTAGAAGTAGTGAATAAATCCTAAAAATACACAGCTCACCCAGACTGAATAGTGAAGAAATAGAAAATCTGAACAGAACAATTACTAATAAGGAGACTGAATTCATAAAACCCTCCCAAAAAAGTACATTCCAGGACCAGATGGCTTTAAAGGGTGAATTCTACCAAACATTTAAAGAATTGGTACCAATCCGATTGAATTAGTAAAAACCTCCCAAAAAAGTACATTCCAGGACCAGATGGCTTTAAAGGGTAAATTCTACCAAACATTTAAAGAATTGGTACCAATCCTCAATCTCTTCCAAAAAACAGAAGGGGAGGGAACACTCAACAAACTTTTTTTTTTTTTTTTTTTTTTGTGGTAGGCGGGCCTCTCACTGTTGGGGCCTCTCCCGTTGCGGAGCACAGGCTCCGGACGCGCAGGCTCAGTGGCCATGGCTCACAGGCCTAGCCGCTCCGCAGCATGTGGGATCTTCCCAGACCGGGACACGAACCTGTGTCCCCTGCATCGGTAGGCGGACTCTCAACTGCTGCGCCACCAGGGAAGCCCAACAAACTCATTTAACAAAGCCAAAATTACCCTGATATCAAAGCCAAATAAGGATACTACATGGAAATTACAAGCCAGTATCCCTGATAAAAGTAGATGCAAAATTCTTCAACAAAACATTAGTAAACAGAATTCAACAGTACATTGACACATTACTGACCTGAGAGGTAATAATGCGTCTTTTGTTACCCGAGCGTTATTGATTGGAGACGTATCAATAGAGTGTGATACAATTAACATCACAGTGTGAAGTTGTTACAGCTTAAAATTGATCAAGGGTTCATTATACAACTTATGACTGTCATTATCACTCACATTTTGCTCTGTTAGGTTTTTGTCCCAATCTTGTGTATATTATAAATGCAAGTTTATTACCATAAAATTTTCAAAAATGACGCATCACAAATTTTGAGTGAAGAAGAATTTTTCGGTGAATTTTATACAGATACTTTCTCTGACTGTCCCAGCAACATATACACTAGTGCCTCAGAAGATGACAGTTCTTCAGAATATAGTTCTGATTCAGATGATGTGAATTATTAGACCAACAAAAAGACAAAAAACCTTAGTGATTGATTCTGATACGGAAAGTGAAAATGAAACTCACGGTGCTGGAGAATGCTCCTTTGCTTCTACGGAAGAGTGGATTGAAGACAACACTTCACGAAAATTAGAAGACTTTACAGGTGTATCAGGTGTAACTACTGAATGTAATAACCCGCAAAATGTTAGTGAAATAACAGAATTAATTTTTGGTAACGACTTTTTCAAGTTGGTCGGTTCTCAAACAAACCTGTATTACCAACAGAATGAAAAATCATATAAAAAGTATGATAAGGGGCTTCCCTGGTGGCGCAGTGGTTGAGAGTCCACCTGCTGATGCAGGGGACATGGGTTCGTGTCCCGGTCCGGGAGGATCCCACATGCCGTGGAGCGGCTGGGCCCGTGAGCCATGGCCGCTGAGCCTGCGCATCCGGAGCCTGTGCTCCGCAACAGGAGAGGCCACAACAGTGAGGGGCCCACGTACACAAAATAAATAAATAAAAAGTATGATAAGGCTTTAAAATGGACTGATGTAACCAATAGTGACATGAAGAAGTTTCTTGGATTAATAATTTTGATGGGGGCTTCCCTGGTGGCACAGTGGTTGAGAGTCCACCTGCCAATGCAGGGGACACAGGTTCATGCCCCGGTCCGCGAAGATCCCACATGCCACGGAGCGGCTGGGCCTGTGAGTCATGACTGCTAAGCCTGTGTGTCCGTAGCCTGTGCTCCGTAACGGGAGAGGCCCCAACAGTGAGAGGCTCACGTGCCGCAAAAAAAAATAAAATAAAATAAAAATAATTTTGATGGGACAATTAAGAAAGTCACACTGGAAAGAATACTGGTTGACTGATCCCGAAACACCAATCTTTCCAAAGATTATGACGAGAAGGTTTGAACCAATAATGGTATTTATTCACTTTACCGATAACTCAGAAACTCCACTTGCTACAGACAGAATTTCAAAAACCTCTTTTGGATTATTTTCTACCAAAATTTCAATCGATCTATATACCCAAACAAGAGCTATCACTTGAGGAGGCAATGATAAAGTGGAGGGGACAACTCAGATTCAAAACCTATAATCCAAAAAAAAAGAAAACAAAACCTATAATCCCAGAGAACTTACAAAATATGGAATTTTGGTCAGGATGGTGAGTGAAAGTGAAACCGGATATATAGGCAACTTTGAGATTTACACGGGTGAAGGAAAGAAACTGCAAGAAACAATATTATTGGTCCTACAACCTTATCTCGGTTCATGGCACCATATTTACCAAGACAATTATTACAACAGTGTGTCCACATCTGAAATATTGTTGAAGAATAAAACCAGAGTTTGTGGGACTATAAGAGAGAATCGTGGTCTACCAAACCAATTAAAGGAGAAATCTAAAAATCTACAGAGGAGAGAAATGACATTCTTATGGAAAGGAGAAGTGACTCTTCTTCTATGGAAAGACAAGAGGCTAGTCCTCATGGTGACAACTATTCATGACACCTCCACAGCAACTACAGGAAAAGAAGATGGAGGACTGGCCATCAGATAACTAAGCCCACCTGTATATTAGAGTATAATAAATACATGAAGGGAGTTGATCGATCCAATCAATATCTGGCAAACTTCAATATCCTCCGGAGAACTCGAAAATGGTATAAGAAAGTAGGTTTATATTTGAGTAATTGCAGTTTTATTCAATGTGTTTAAAATTTATTGCAGCCTTAATGCACAGAATAAAGTGACTTACAAGCAATTTTTGTTAGCAGTAGCTAGAGAATGGGGAATTGACCATTCTGGTAATACAGCGGTAGTCCCACACCTGGTCCTTCTTGTGGCGTTTCTAGAACAGTGTGCCGCAAAGATCCACCTTGTCAACTATCAGGTAAAATAAAAGAATATATTCTAGAGGAAATAATACCCACAGGACCAAAAAAAAAATGCCACCAGAAAGTGTAGAGTCTGCTATTCCAGGGGAAAGTGCATTGAAACATGGTATATTTGTAATAGATGTTCTGTTCCCCTGCACAGAGGTGCCCGCTATACTGCCTATCACACTCTAACGAAATATCAGAATGCTTTAGTAAGACATGTACAAAGTTTCAAATAAATACATTAAGTGCAAAAAACGTTGCTGATATTTACTCAAACGCAGGCGTTTCAATATTCACTTACATAACAAACCATCAGCCACAGGTGTTAGTTTCTGCAAAAATCCCCTGGTCAATAATGTGTTAAAAGTATCAACAACATGATCAAGTGGGATTTATTCCAGGCATGCAATGATGGTTTGACATCCACAAATCAACCAATGCAACACATCACATTAATAAAATGAAGGCTAAAAATCATATGATCATCTCAATAGATGCAGAAAAAGCATTTAACAAAATTCAATACCCATTCATGATAAAAACTCTCAACAAACTGGGTACAGAGGAAGCATAATTCAGCATAATAAAGGTCACATATGACAAGCCTACAGCTAACATCATATTCAATGGTGAACGCTGGAAGTTTTTCCTCTAAGATCAGGAACAAGACAAGGATGTCCACTCTTGCCACGTCTTTCTACACAGTACTGTAAGTCCCAGCCAGAGCAATTAGACAAGAAAAAGAAATAAAAGGCAACCAAACTGGAAAGGAAGAAGTAAAATGGTCTCTATTTGCACACAACATAATATCATATAGAAAAACCTAAAGATTCCACCACAGAACTGTTAAAACTAATAAATGAATTCAGTAAAGTTACAGGATATAAAATCAACATAAAAAATCAGTTGTGTTTCTATACACTAACAACAAACTATCAGAAAGAGAAATTAAGACAATAATTTCATTTACAAGAGCATCAAATACAACAACATACTTAGCAATAAATTTAACCAAAGAGGTAAAAGACCTGTACACTGAAAACTATAAGACAATGATGAAAGAAACTGAACAAGGCACAAATAAATATATATTCTGTGCTCATGTATTGGAAGAATTAATAGTTAAGATGTTCATACTATCCAAAGCAATTTAGATTCAATACAATCCCTATAAAATTCCAATGGCATTTTTCACAGAAATAGAAAAACAATCCTAAAATCTGTATGGAACCAGAGAAGATTCTGAATACCCAGAGCAGTCTTGAGAAAGAAGAACAAAGCTGCAGGCATCATCACACTTCCTGATTTCAAAGTATATTACAAAGCTGCAGTAATCAAAAGTGTTGTTTTGGCATAAAAACACATAAATCAGTGAAACAGAATAGAGAGGCCAGAA